CCTGTGGAAAAATAATCAATACTGGGTGCATTTTACACATTAGGTCTTGCACTTCACCACAACATTCTATAATTCAAACAATTACTCATACCTCTATGCTACAGGCCTACCCCCATTATTCTTAGAATAACTCGTCTAAAAGCTGAGGAAGTCAGAAACCATTGTATAAAAACAATGAAATATATAATATAATATTATATATAAATATATATATATATAAATATATATATTTATATCTATATATATATTATTTTTTTTAATACCTGCAGAACTTAATATCTAAGTTTACAATCCCAACATAAAAATATGACAACCTTTTCTTCTTTTTTTCAGTAACTTTGTACAATATATTATATATATTATATAGATCTACATACCACTCTCCAATGTATCAATAAAACGACTAATTCATGTTTGTTTTCATTATTTTCACAAGTCACAATGCCTCGAAAGTACACCAGTTGTTGAGTAAACCTGGTAATAGACATTATAAAAGCTATAGGGAAGAGACTCTGCTCGTAGCAATTCATCTGTGTTGGCACATGAGCATACCAGAAGTGTCGAAGGCGTACAACATCCCTTTCTCTAAGGACACTTAGAAACAAAGTCAATAATAATCGCCACAAAAAGACAGCGGAGGAAAAGTCTGCTCTATCAAAAGAATTAGAGGAAACCATTTTGAACTATGTATTGATATTGCAGACTATGGCATACCATTAGCATCCAATGACATTAAGTTCATGGTTCAAGGGACTCTAAATAAATTGGAAATGACTATTCTTCAAGAACAATCTCCCAGGGCCCGATTGGGTCAACGATTTTTTTAAAAGACACAAAGAAGCTCTATGTAAAAAACAAAGCCAAAACATCAAAAGAACTAGAGCTGAAGTACATCCGAATGAAATCAAGAAGTACTTTGACAATTTGAAGGTGTCTTTGGATGGAGTGGCAAAGGACAATATATTAAACTATGGTGAAACAAACTTATCCCATAACCCTGGGCAGAAAACATGAGTTTTCCGTAGGGGAATTGAGTACCCAGAAAGAGAGAGAGTAATGAAAGAGTCCAAAGGAAACATCAATGTAATGAGTAATGTTTGCAGTGACAGCCTAAGGAACACCTCTTCCTCCATGTGTGAATATAAATCAGAAAATCTTTGGAACACTTGGTGTGAGAATGTTCTAAAAGGTGCTCGTTTTGCTAGAAGCAAGAGTGGTTGGATCGATATTGCATATTGTTGAGGAATGGTTTATGACGATAGTGGTGCCGTGGACCACGAGAAAAGAAGGCAGGAAATCTCTTATTGGTGATAATCTTAGCTCCCATGTATATTAGTTCAACTGTCATTGAAAAGTGTAAAGAACTGGCTATTGCCTTCATATTGCTACCCCCAAAGGCTACTGACAAATTACAGCCTCTTGACGTCCGTTTCTTTTCTTTTTCCCCTCTTAAGAAACAGTGGCGAAAGCAGCTTGAGCAGTATCGACAACGGTACCCTTCATCAACATCTTTAGACAAGTGTGTCTTTCCGTCCATGCTGAATAACCTCGTTCAAGAACTTGTTATGAGATCGTCAGTCAATTTAATCTCAGGATTTAGGGCATGTGGAATTGTCCCACTCAACCCAGAGGCTGTCATCACCACCAAATCTCCATCGAATTAACAAGAGGTAGATCCAAACAAGCAAAGTTCTGTCTGTGATGTAGTCATAGAATACCTTCACAAGTATTTACCCAATGGAAACAAAAAGCGAAGTCGATCAAAGATTCTGGTGTCTCCAGGCAAATAGTTGGCATCAATTACCATTCCCGGTGCATCTGCATCTCCTCAAGTACTGGCAGCCGTCAAAGACAGTACTGCCAGTACTTCGACCTCCACATTTTCCCAACATGAACAAAGCAGGCCTTCTCAAGATAAAAACTCAACTGAAGATTCCAATCATGATATAATATAAATTGTGCATCCGAGTCTGAGTCGTTCTCCGAGATTAGTGACGACGGCGATGAAAAATTGGTTCCTCAACCTCAACCCAAGAGAGCCAAACGAAACCTTTTTGACCAGATGCAAAACTAGTCTTATTGACGTTTATAATTCTGCTACAGAGTCTAGGTCTTATGTGTCAAATCATATATGTATAAAAGTATTACTAGCATTTCCATTATAAATCTAAATGTGAGGCAGCGTGGTGGAATCAGGCTCTCGTCAATTTTTGGGCTTGTAGAGTTATTGGTATCATCTTAAAGCTTGTTCACTTGCCTTTATTTGGATGAAAAAAATATCCATTTATCTTGAATACAAGTCGAGATATTTGCGAAAGAAGGAGGTGGGGGTCACTTGTTTTCAGAGATAAAATAAGTGAGAAAATTGCAGCCAAAGATGAGTTATTTCCTTAGCTTAAAAGTCCGTGGTGACTGAAAGTTTACATGTTTGTGCCTTTTACAACGTTTTTCTGAAAAAATCCACACAGAAATGAGTTCTTTAATGGGCATGGAAGGTGTTGAGACAAAAAAAAAGATAAAATTCACAAACCTGGGGGAAAATGCATGTTTTTTCACTCTGATTATTTTGACAAGAGCCTGATTCCACCACGCTGCATCACAAATGTTAACCGGTACTGGTAGTTATGGTGTGATTTGGTTTGCGTTCATGATTGAGAATGTTGTTATGAAGAACAGTTTTTGTTTTTGAATGGTAAAAAGATTATATTATCATCTTTTTTATTATTTATGCTGTTGCTGAGTCCCTCTTAAGGTAGTATATGATATAAATGTTTTGTTTTAGTGCAGTTGAAAGGGTAGATCTATGGTGGTTTGTATAAAGGCAAGGTTAACACATTTTCACTTTTTACAAAAATTAGTCAAAATAATTAATATCTTTTAAATTGATTTGTTTGGATTGTCTCTATGATCAAGAAGGCTACTATGATTAAAGACCAATACTCGTAACTACTTATGATGTTTAGTAAATGTTAATTTGAAAAGTATTTGGTTTGTTATTTTTAAAAGTAGGCAAAGTCACAAATTATTCAGAAACATTTTTAATCATCCTAAGCTTCCTTGGCCTCTTTGCCTTTTAGTTGGATTACTTTGTCTACGTCTTTGTATTTAGATGTATTTAGGCTCTCTTCCTTTCCGTCATTAGAATTTAGATCTACGATTTCCCTAGTGACCAATGTTATTTTTGTTTTGTTTATTCGTTTGATTGTTCTCTCTTTTATTGGCAATTTAACTACTCCAAATCTAATGCTGCCCCTGAAGTTGTCCCCATTAAACGTCTATCTTTTCGTTGACACTTTCTCTTCTGTTTACTTCAATTGCTTCGTTTCTGAGAACTTCGTATTTTTTGTTTTTAACTTAACCTCCACTTGGTACACTATTCTTTCTTCTTCTATTTTCATTTTAACCCAGTTAATGTGCATTATGTTTGATTTGTATCAGCCTTTTTCCTCAAATTCTTCAGCTTTTAGGTAACTTAAAATGAGGGGGCGTCGTCCGAGTTTGCATCAGCTCCTAGGTGTGTTTTTATTTATATTGCGTAATATTATTGGAGGCAAGACAATCATTAACTTGTGTTTTGCCGATGACATCGATGGATTATCAGGAGAAAAACAGGAGCTCGCCACACTAGTGGAGCGGCTGGACACAACCTCAGCATCCAAAGGTATGGAGATCAGTGCCGAGAAAACCACGCTAATGACCAATAACACCAATGGCATCAACGCAGACATCAAAGTCAGGGGCGAGAAACTTGAGACTGTCAACAGCTTCAAATACCTTGGATCAATCATCTCAGATGAAGGCTCAAGACCAGAACTTCTCTCCAGAATCACGCAAACAACACAGCTGCGCCGTCAAGGCACATTTTTATACGCCTGTGAGTCGTGGACACTAACAGCAGAATTAGATAAAAAGATTCAGACCACAGAGATGAGATGTTACCGCGGACTCCTTAACATCTCGTACAAAGACCACGTTTCAAATGCTGAGGTACGAAAGAGAATCACCAAAGCAGTGGGGCAGTATGAAGATCTACTGACCACAGTGAAGAGACGAAAATTAAAATGGTGTGGGCATGTCACAAGATCCACAGGACTTGACAAAACAATCCTGCAAGGAACCGTACAAGGAAAGAGAAAGAGAGGAAGGCTGAGAATGAGGTGGGAAGACAACATTACAGAGTGGATGGGTGACAATCTGAGGAAAGCAGAGCACAAAAATAGATGGCGAAAGCTGTTTTTCAGATGCAGTGGTGCCCCCACGATTGCCCCAACCACGGAATAGAAGAAACAAAAAAAGAAGAAAAAGGCCTACTAATTCAGTTGGTGTCAGTCGACATATTCAGGACTCTTCCATGCAGTCTTCTAGCTGGTTGATGAAAGAAGGTGTTTGCTATCATTCGATTTTACCCCTCAAAAAGTTTAGAGAGTGTTCACCTCTTTAGGTTCGTGTTCCTATTGCCACTGGTGTCTTGGTATTGTCCCTTTCCTGCTATAACGTTCAGATTCCAGGTCTTCGATTATGACGAGTGCTTCATTCGATTTAACGTCTTTCAGTGTCTAATGTTTCTTCATAATAATAATATATTCTTCAGTCTTTTCATCTTCGCGTGTGAAGGTTAGGGCACATGTTATTAGTAGGCCCTGTGTATAATATGTGTACCTCTTTATTGTAATTGCAACCTTATGAAGGTCTGTTTGAAAAGTATACTCTATCGAAATCAGTACATGCCCATTTTATTCTATATCATAAACAACAGTTTTCTCCACTGTGAGGTTTCTCTGCCTGCCACAGCTTCACCAGAGCCCCATTAGCCAGCAACACGTCAAGGTTACCAAGGTCGGCCTTCACGGCTAGCGTAACGCCCACGTGACATGACGTCACACCGTACCTCACCCGAACCCAGAAACTCTCTACTTTGTTCTGTTTCCATCTCCCAGGACGAGGACCGAGGGGTTGGACTTTAGGAGACAAAAACAAATTGGTAAATATAAATAAAAATATTTTTTCCTAAAATAATGTCCCATGCCCGTTTCTTCGAACTACTCGACGCCATATTAGTGTAAAAGTGAACAAAAACGACAAATTGAATTAGTATGTTGTTATAAAACAAAGTGAAAGTAAGAAAGACTTTTTATACATAAATCTGAACGAACACGCACTACGGAAGAGTTGATGTTGTTGAGGGAGTGAAAGAAAAATCAACTCATCCGAAGTTCAACTTAACCGTCCCGATACAGAACAATAGGTGCTGAAACCAGAGAAAAAGATCAAGTCATGAGAAAAAGATCAATCGAAGATCAACTCAAACGAGTGAAACACAAGCTGAGTCGACTGTTAAGGTTAGTCAGTTAGTTTGAATAATTTTATTTTTTAATCCTAGCATCCTCTGCTCCAAATGAGTCACGAGGCGGGCATTTTCCCACATTCCCACTCCCTAACGGAGCAACCAAATTTCGTTTAGTCGTCACCAAAGTGAAAAATATCCTACATGTGTGCGCTCAGTCTCGTCTACCGGTGACGTTTGTTAGTGGTGTTATTTTACTCTAGGAGGAAAGACCAAACCGAAAGGAACACACATTATCTAAGGCCAGTCAAGTAACTATAAAAGACATAAAAATGAAACAAAAAACGTAAGATAGAGGAAAAACTTAAGCAAGTAGAGAACTTACTGATCATACTGATATTATATGACACCAGTCAAGTAACTAAAAATCACATAAAAAATGAAACAAAAAACGTAAGATAGAGGAAAACCTTAAGCTAATAGAGAACATACTGATATTATATGAGGCCAGTCAAGTAACTAAAAATACCATAAAGATGAAACAGAAAACATGAGGTACAGGAAAACTTAAGCAAGTAGAGAACATAACAGTATGAAGAGCCAGAGACCAGTTCCCCCCTGGACTCTGTCCCGTCAAACCATCCCTAGTGAAGCATTTCCCTGACGTCTCAAGACAAAAGTACACTCTGGCTAGCCAAGATTGGCAATCACCTGAACATAAGTGAGTAAGGGTCACCTCCCTCCCCTGATCCAGCTCATTAAGAAAATAGTCATAACTTTAAAAAAAAAAAAGAAGAAAGAAATATAAAATGTAATAGATAGCACAACGTACCAAAAACGACCCAAGTGTAAAATGACACGTATAATAACTTTTTAAATTACAGAAAAAATTATTAACAAAATCAATAACAGATCAGAAAAATAATGAAATAGAAATTATCCGTCACCTAAATCTCCCGAAAAAAAAGTTGTCGTTTCACTGGTAATGAAACAAACATTCTCTATCGGGTCAAGGTTCAGTTTCCCTTTGACCTTTGACCCTTGACCCGACAAGACGTCAAATACGAGAAAAAAATCGAGCAATTAAAAACTAATCTAGCCCATTCAGAAAAAAAAATTCAAGTTAACAAATCAACGTTACCTCTCTCCTTCAACTCTGCTGAAGCATGTCTGT